AGTGTGCCAGCATGCTCATCATGGATACTGCCTTTGGAAACCACAACAAAGAAATACGTACTCATACCATATACAAAAAGAGAACCCACGTTACTGATTTGTTTACCAAGTACGGCGGCATCCATATTATCATAAGTGTGAAAAATGAATATTGGAAACAATTGAATAACATAACTGATAATGGCACCATAGTAGTCGAAAAAGTTTTGTAGAACTGTAAAACCAGATATTGGGATTGAGTACTGTGAACATTTTTTTTTGTTCGAGCAAAGGTGAAAAGCTGCGCGTGGGCGGGACTTCCACAATTACCTAGCCAATGGCGTAAGCGAGGGATGAGGAATCTCCCGCCCACTCGCTGGTGTACCACCCGTGACCGACACTAATCATAGCCCAGCAGTGCCATTTCGATATTGCACCATTACAGGCTCATACAAAAGAAAAAACTATCACTGCGATTGACAGGAACGTGATAAACGACAGTTGCTAGCCGCGTTAAGCCGATCTTTTCAAGTGTGAACGTAATAGAGCGTCATTACATTGTGCTGGATATTTCCATAAAGTAGCACCCAGTTGTCGTTTCAGCAAAAAAACAAAGAATCGATCACTTTCGTGCTTGTCGAATTCTGATGCGCTATAGAAAGCAGACTCTTCTGCGTTGTTTCTCACAGAGACATGTTTGTATCTGAAATTGAACCCAAATACAACCAAGAAACTTTTTCTTTCCCTTTAGTCAAACCCTAAATATGAAGAAAAGTGATAAAAATGTCGTTCCAGGGGAATGCTGGCAATGTATGTAAGGATTGTGAGAACTTGGGTCCCTTCTGATATGGGAGTTTTTCGACGAACCTGAAGTCACCTTCCGCTCTCTCTACTCTGGCTGTCCATTTAGTCAGCGGTGAAACAAGTAGACGATTTGCTATGACTCCAATCAGGAAGTATACATATATTATAGCTACACCAAATGGTCCAGATCTGAAAAATGGTCATGGGTCAGTAGATGACATCGCGCGGCCACCGCGTGCGGAACTAGGTCGACGCGATCGGCATGTGAACTATCATGTGGCGCTCAACGGACGCCGTTCCCCCCACGCATGGTTGGAACTCCAATGCTAGGTCAGTACCCATCTGGGTCAACCATGCGCTTCGTACCATATCAAAAACTTTGAGCCTTATTCTGTCTTATGAAAAAATTAATTTACGTACATTGTCCAAGTCTTGTATGTGTAATATGCAATCACTCCTGGTGATATGAGGATGTAAGGAAAAATACTTTTAGCGAGTGTAGAACACATACGCTCCACATCTTGCGTGATTCGTTGGTCCCTGAAAAAATTTGAAAAAAAA